CACTCCCCCAGTGTATCTCTGTAACTATTTACATCATATATTTTTCCATCTCTTACTCTTGAGTATATTCACATGTTCACATATGCCATTTATCATGTGCACACATAATTTTCATTATATTTCCACATACTTTTCATCATATACATCAAACCATGGCATATTCACAATACACATTATTTTTGCATGAAACACAATATATTCAAACATGAAACATCCATCTCGTTGTATATTTCATATCACAAAATCATAAAATCATATCAACCATCCTCAATATACCTTATCATGCCCTATTTGAACATAATATCACATTTTCACCATGTATTCATCATAAAATCACATAAACAGCCAATTATTCTCACTTTTCACCGATTATTTCTCATAAAACAAGAATTATTCCACATATAATCACATACATGACAAGATCCATGAGAATACAAGTAATAAACATAACAAAATGATAAAGTAGAGCCCCCTTACCTCAAAACAGAACTTTTACAAAGATTTAACCGAAGATTTGAACTCTAGAATGTAGTTTTTCCTAAGAACATCATGAACATCTATAATAAAAAGAAGAAGAGAAATGAACGGTAAATCTAACTTCAAACTTAGAGAAACTTACTTGAAATCCTTTAGAACGGACATAGAATCACAGATCTGAAGAAAAATCTAAGTTTAGGAGGTTTAGTATGGGAGAAATTGGTGAGATATAACCTTAGAACCTTTGAGAACCTTGGATAGGAGTGAAGAAATGAAAATTTCGTGTGAAACCCCCTTTTTATAGAAAATTTTTGAAATTTATTGTTCACTGCCGGAAACATTGTTCACCGCCTTACTGTTCACGCCAGAAACACTGTTCGCAGTCACTGTTCACGCTGGAAACATTGTGCGCACGTACTGTACATGAATGTGACGTCATGCTGATGTCATTGATGACGTCATCGTCACTGTACATAGGCGGTTTCACTGTTCATCAACATTGTTCATAGGCGGTTTTACTGTTCACTTTTTGTTTTTTGTTTTTTTAAATATATATTCTATCCAAATCTATTCCAATTATACTTTAATAAACCTCATTTTATTTAAATCAAAATGCAGAATGTTACAAGTGATAGTTGGATTATACGTGTGAATCGTATGATAGTGTGGTTATTGAATTTGATTGAAAGAGTATATGTGAAAATAAGTTAAATGATGAATATTATGTATGAAAAGTATATGTATAATGTGCATTGTTTTGAAAATATTTGAATAGAACTGAATCTGGGAAGTGTGAAATTTTGATGAGATTGTAGGGTTATGAGATGTGTGCTTACAATATGTGAGTTGTAGCCAATTAATTGATATGATTATGTTGTAGGTATTGTGATACATCGACAAGTGTATTCATAATATATGTATTGTAATACATTGAATTATATAGTCATAATACGTGTATTGTAACATGTTGATCTATGAATGGTGTATGGATTGATATGAAAGGAATTAGTGTGAATAGCCACAACGATACACCGGGAGTATGGAATAGGGAACCGATTATGAAAGTCTGGAGGAAAGGTGGGGTGATTGTAACACCTTAAAATTAATTTTAATTTAATAATAATTTCACAAATTAGAATAACCAATTTTCATAAAATACTTCAAAATAAGGGGAAAATTACAAATTAATATCAAATGACTGCTACAAGACTAGTTCAGTTACAACAATTTCAAAATAAAAGCTAAGTTCACCCATCCCTTCATCGAGTCCAGTGCTGATCGTCTTGATTACCTAAAAAATGAATGTAAGGGTGAGTACTCTACACTATCCAAAAACTCACAATCAACATAGAGTCTCACCTCCAGAACATTTCCAAGACGTTAACAAACACAATCACAAGCAGCATTTCACATCCATAAGTACAATACATAAGCCCATGCATATGCACGTCAGCCACACTCATTGTAGCACTGTGATCACAGATTTACACTATGAATGGTTGCCGGTTACTCCCGCCTCATGGATACCACGTGAGCAGTCACGAGTCGCTTAGCAAAGATAGTAGTCAGAGGTCTAGTCAGGAAGAGAGTGTGTGGCCCGTGGTGCACCCATTCCGCAGTCGGTGTCACCACCACTCCCTCTTCCCCAAGATATTTCTGTCGTCCTCATCTCCTACATCTCTAGTGTATCGCTGAACCCTTCACAACACATTACAACGGCGCTAACAAGCTCGTTCACACATATTCCATTCACACATGCAATATTCATGCTTGCACACGGCACATAGCCTATATTCAATTCACATTACACGGCACATAGCCCACATTTTATCCACAATATACGGCACATAGCCTTCATTCATTCACAATATCATTAACTCACCAATCAATGACATTCTATCACATACAATCACCCCCAAGGGCCTAACTATTTCATCACACCTCATATTACATACCAATTTCCATCAAACACACAATTCCTACTCTCTATCTCAGCCACATTGCATTATTTGACAAAACACACAAGAAATTCTATACATTGAGATAGGGTAGAGTCCTCCCTTACCTCGGATTGATGTCCTACACACTAAATCCACCAAGAAGTGCTCTCCCTCACGGATTTCATCTTAAACACATGGAGAAACCCCATGAGAACCTAGGAAAACCACGAAAACAGAGAAAAGGGATGAAAAGCCGAAACCCAAACCATTAAAACTTACCTCCAAGCATTCTCCACTTAAATCCAACCTTCAATCAAGCTCCCGAATGGCTTTGGGGGCAATTTAATCTGTAGAAAAGGGTTTGGGAATGAGAGGATTCAAGGGACTTTGAAGAGAGAGGGAGAAATAACTCTCCTCGAACCCTAACCCCTTTTAAATCCTTTTTTGGTCGCGACACTCTCGCTACAGCAAGATATTCTCGCTGCATCGAGGTCCCCTTACTGCAGCGACATGCCCTCATGCTGCAGCGAAAATCTCAAACGAAACTGCTTTCTGGTTTCTACATAATCTCACTACAGCGAGAAGGTGACAGTTCTGGTCCTTCCTGTAACATCCTGTACTTTGCTTTAAATAAAATGAAGTTTGTTAAAGTATAATTGGAATAGATTTGGATAGAATTTATATTTAAAAAAAATGTGAACAGTAAAACCGCCTATGAACAATCTCGATGAACAGTAAAATCGCATATGAACAGTGAAACCGCCTATGTACAGTGACCGATGACGTCATTAGTGACATCAGCATGATGTCATGGCTGACGTCACATCTGCGTACAGTACGCATGTACAGTGTTTCTGGCGTGAACAGTAAGGCAGTGAACAATGTTTCCAGCGATGAACAGTAATTCTGGCAGTGAACAGTAAATTTTAAAAAATTTCTATAGAAAGGGGGTTTCACACGAAATTTTCATTCTTCACTCCTATCCAAGGTTCTCAAAGGTTCTAAGGCTATATCTCACCATTTTCTCCCATATTAAATATGACACCCAGGCACTAGATGAGGGTAGGGAGTGATCGCCGGTGCAATGTGGCACGGACAAGGAGCGGCTACCTAGCAGGCTTCCGGCGGTAAGGGGCACATAAATGAATCGAATTTACATCGGAATGAGAGGGGGATCTAGAGACTGTGTATACAGTTAAGGATAGCTTAAAGGAATTGATTAGGACTACGTATACCAACAAAATGCATTTACTTTTCGGTGGCCTATCACTTAAGAACTCCAAAGTTAAGCATGCTTAACTTGGAGCAATTATGGGATGGGTGACCTTCTGGGAAGTTCCCCGGAAGTGTGCGAGTGAGGACAAAGCACAGTGAAAAGTCTCGTGTTGGTTTGTGAGGACAGTTGTCAGTTCCGAATAAGTTGCCGGGATGTTACACTAAACCTCCTAAACTTAGATTTCTCTTCAGATCTTTGATTCTACGTCCGTTTTAAAGGATTTCAAGTAAGTTTCTCAAAGTTTGAAGTTAGATTTACTGTTCGTTTCTCTTCTTCTTCTTTTTCTTATAGATGTTCATGATGTTCTTAAGAAAAACTCTGTTCTAGAGTTAAAATCTTCGGTTAAATCTTTGTAAAAGCTCTGTTTTGAGGTAAGGGGGCTCTACTTTATCATTTTGTTATGTTTATTACTTGTATTCTCATAGATCTTGTCATGTATGTGATTATATGTGGAATAATCCTTGTTTTATGAAAAATAATCAGTGAAAAGTGAGAATAATTAGTTGTTTATGTGATTTTATGATGAATACATGGTGAAAATGTGATATTATGTTCAAATAGTGCATAATAAGGTATATTGAGGATGGTTGATATGATTTTATGATATGAAACATACAAAGAGATGGATGTTTCATGTTTGAATATATTGTGTTTCATGTAAAAATGATGTGTATTGTGAATATTCTATAGTTTGATGTATATGATGAAAAGTATGTGGAAATATAATGAAAAATATGTGTGCACATGATAAATGGCATATGTGAACATGTTAATATACTCAAGAGTAAGAGATGGAAAAAGATATGATGTAAATAGTTATAGAGATACACTGGGGGAGTGGAAGATGGAGACGGTATGAGATATCTTGGGGAAATGTAGGGTGATGAGTGACATTCGGAATTGTGCACGAAATATTGTGTTCGAATGCACCACATGGCCACACACTCATTTCCTGACTTGACTCCTAACCATTACCTTTGCTAAGAGGCTGTCTATTGCATGCGTTGTATCCGTATTGCATTGGGCCATCCAGTAACTATTTACATGGATGTGTAAGACCTCGGGATAGAGGCATCAGATAACTGTGGCCACAGGGCGCGGTAAGCGTGGATAAAAGAAAGAAAAAGAAATTGTGAATCTATGGAATATAATGTGTTTATGTGTTGAGATGAGAGCATGCTTTATATGACATTGTGATATGTAATGCCATAATGTTTTCTCTAATCGTGATAAGATGTGTTTTGTTATAAATATGTGTGATGTATGAGTGGTATGATTGAGACTCACCCTTACACAACATTTTTCAGGAAACCAGGACGAATAGTATCAGGCTCACAATGTATGGATGGATGAGAACTGCTATCAAACTTAGTTATTTTGAGTTATGTATTGGATATTTTCAGTTCTATATCATCCTTTTAAAACAGTTGTAAAACTACTATTTCTTTTTTGTTGCTGATGAAAGTTTTAGGATCTTTGTTTTTCTAAAAGTACTCATGAATTAATGAAATTTTACTCTATGAACCTTATATCATTTCATTGTTTCTTTCTCATCAGAGGGTTGTTGAAAGAAAATTTACTTTGCCATTTAAATTTTTATGAAAATTTATCATATATTTAGAAAAGAAATATAAGGCCTTACACTTCCTCCCAGAGTCCTCTCGCTGTAGCGAGAACAGAAGTGCACTAAGCCCATTTCAGCCCCATCCAGTCATGCATACCCATATATATATATATATATATATATAAAGTCACAACATACATATATGTTAATATATTCATACTCATTACACACAAAGCACCATCATTATGCATCCAATGCAATTTCACAGTATTCATTTACACTTATACACACATATATATGCAATTAGATTTATGTAAATAACAATAATTAATATTACAAAATTTGGGGCATTACAGTGATGGATGACATTTGATGAGTGTGCATAGGTACGTTGCAGTTATTCACTTATTGTGTAAGATCTCATGAAATGTTGGAGGCAATTATGAAATGTGATCATATTGTATGAGAAATTATTGAGTTGAAACTGAAATGAATTGAATATATTATTGATATGTGTAAGAGTGATGATCTGATTGGCACATAATTATTGATATAAGTGCTATCATAGAAATTGATGTATTCATCCTTGTATGCAAAGATATAAATAGATTTACATATGCATTAAAAATATATTTCTGGTTATATTTTAATGATGGGGAAGGAACTCATCCTTACAAAATATTTCAGGAAATAAAAATAACGATTCAGATCAAACTCTCAACGTTTAGGCATGGATCAAAACTACTTTCTAAGAAGAAATTTTTTTCTTTTGCTTATTTTGGTCATATAATGATGTATTCTAAATCAAATATGTATTTGGGTTAACAGTCTGTACAAAGTATACTTCTAAATACAACTTAAATTGAATACTTGGACACTCAATATTATTTAAAATTTAGTTGTTATCATAAATGGCAAGTAAATTTTGATTATTTTATTGTTTAAATCCATTGTGAATATATTCAAGCAAGAAAAGTTTCAATTTCAAAATATTTATACTACTTGTTTTAATGAAGAATCGATTTATTCTGTTGGTTTGCAATAAATTATTATTTATTTTCAGAATTTAAAAAGTAGGGTGTTATAGTTAGAGATTAGGCAAGTAGAGATAATTGAGCTTATGAGACAACTTTGTTGAATTTTGCCATGTGAGTACATTTATTGAGGTTGATTATGGCATTATCTTAGCCATCATAATAGGGGCAACATCTTTCCAGAAAAAGCCATAAAAACTCAATTTTTTTCCTTAAAATTGACTTAGTGCTTACTCAATGTAAGTTGAATTGCATCTGGGTTGGGCTCATATTTTCAAAATACTATGATTTGATAGTTTCTTAGATAATAGATAGAAGAAATTTGTGTAAGGATAGTATCTAAATTCTGTTGCATAATAGTAACATATTTGTTTAAACAATAATTATTTTAATTTATATGTTTAATATGTATGTGTAATGCTATCTAACATGCACCTAACTGTTGAGGGACATTAATGTTCTAACTCCTATTGTCTATCATTGTGTATTTTACATTAAATTTGACATATGATTGTAATTATCTATCAAAAGAAGTCCATTGCTATTATTCACAAGTTTTTAATGTTTGAACTTATTATTCTTTCTACGATTTCCTTTTACCTGGGTGGGAGTGAAGCCCTCTACCAAACACTTGAAATTTTTGGTTCAATATGTTATATTCAAATTACATGAGTTAAAAGAACCAAATTGGATGATAAAGATGAAATGGGGTTTTTTCTTAAGCTATGCTGTATACTCTAAAGGTTATAGAGTGTACAATTTCAAGTCAAAACAGATAGTGATTAGTGATGAATCCACATGTTATAGATATTTTGTTTGGTTTTTATAAAGTTTTAATAGAAAAAAATAGACTTAGAGGTTGTAAATAACAATAAAATCTTATTTAGGTAGAAAACAATAGCTTTCTTAATTTTTGTCTTATTTCCATTAATTTTTGTGAATATATTTTGCAATTTTGATCATTTGAATAATTATGTAGGAAATTCTAGACAAATTTCATGAATTTTTGGCTCTTTGGAAAAATATGAACTGAGAGTAACTACTATCAGATACCAGAGTAATCACTCCAAGGAGCTGGTTTCAAGGGATAGGCCAGAGTAACCACTTTTAGATATAAGAGTGATCACTCCAGAAGCCCCAGACTTCAAGTGTCCTACGCGTAAACACTCTCAGAAATGGGAGTAATGACTCCAGAGACGCCCAGAAGGAAGTGCCCTGTGCGTGTTTACTCTTAGAAATGAGAGTAATCACTCCAGAAAGGGAAAAAGCTAAAGTTGTTGCGCGTAAACACTCTTGTTTTACAGAGTGATCACTATGGGGCCATGTCAGACTTAGTATATACAGACTTTTAGAAATTAGGGTACGGGATTATTCATTTTCCTTAGATTCTTTTGCCACTTTTGGAGCATTTTGCAGAGCTTAGGATTCTTGGGTGACAGCCAGGGATCCATTATAGGTTTTAATTTCCAATTTCCCTTTTGATTCTCCTTGATTTTACATTAATGTTGTTTATGTTTCTACATTTCCTTCTTTCATTTGTTAAGCCCATCCATATGGAGGGCTAAATTCTCTTGTAATTTCTAGTCAACTCATTTGGTTCTTGAATTCTTGGGTTTAATGGCAATATTACTCTTTCTTTCCTTGGATTTATTAACTCCAATCTCTGAATGAAATGAAATTTGCATGAGGGGAACATTGCGTAATGAACCCTAAATTACCCAAACGAAATTCTAATCTAAAATTGCTTAATTTTGATTAATCTTTGAGATTGCTTAATCTTAGGGATAGAGGTTGGAGCTAATTAAGATGCTTAATTTTAATTGGGATGCTAAAGTTAATTTTCGCTTGTTAGATTAACTTAATTCAAGGGAAAAATAGAGGATTATTGAATTATTTGAAAGAATAGGGATAGAACTCATTGATTGACTAGGGATTACTCTTTCTAATTGATTGAATTTCATTAGTTTACATTCTGCTCTTGATTAAAATCTGGAAATTGACAAACCTCCCCCTAATTTACTTGCTTTAAAATATATGTTTACACTTGTTCAATGTATGTTCCTAACCAAAAGCTCCTTGGAGATAACCTAGGACAACACCCTAGTATTGCATTTATATCTTGCATATTTGATGAGGATTAACGACAATCTTTGTGCATAACGTGTAGCGAAAAATCGTTCCATCAAATTGGCGCCATTGCCGGGGAACTTTGGTGTTAATTTTGCATTGAACTTGTTAGTTGCTCTGTTTTAGTGTTCTGTTTTCTGTTTTTCTGCATTATTACTCTGTTTTTGCTGCATAATTCTGCAGCATTTGCTAGCAGAATTCTGCAGCATTTGCTAGCTTGTGTTGCATTTTCTTGCAATTAATTGCAATTCCTTTTCTGTTTTTGTTGCTTAACCTCTTTGCTTCATTTTACTACACATAGACATTAGTTTTCTGCATAATTGTCATCTGATTTTTTCTGTATTTTTTGCTGCTTCATCTAGCTTACTTCTTTTCATTCCTTATAATTAGTTTCTAGTGCATGACCAGATCGAATCCTGGGGACTTGTATCCACTTGACCCAGAGATTGATAGGACATTTCATAGTAGCATTAGAACACATAGGAATAGTTCTAAACATTTTGAAGAGTTTTCATCTCCTTCATCTATCTATTCATCACCCCATTCATTAGAATTTGAAATTCAAAACATGGCTGACAATGAAAGAACATTAAAGGAACTAGCTGCACCGGATGTAGCATATCAAACTTTATGCATACAGTATCCTGATATTGATGCTCCTTTTGTTCTAAAAACTGGATTAATACACTTGTTGCCAAGATTTCATGGCCTTGCAGGTGAAGATCCGCACAAGCACCTCAAGGAGTTCCATATTGTTTGTTCAACTATGAGGCCACAAGGTGTGCCTGAGGAGCATGTCAAGTTAAAGGCTTTTCCGTTCTCTTTGATGGATGCAGCCAAGGATTGGCTCTACTATCTCCCTCTAGGATTTATTGCTAGTTGGGACAACTTGAAGAGACTTTTCCTGGAGAAATTTTTTCCAGCATCAAGAGCTGCGTCCATAAGAAAGGAAATATGTGGGATAAGGCAACTTGAAAGAGAGACCCTCTATGAATATTGGGAAAGATTCAAGAGGTTGTGTGCTAGCTGCCCTCATCACCAAATTAGTGATCAATTGTTGATACAGTACTTCTATGAAGGACTGCACCCTATGGACCGAAGCATGATAGACGCTGCAAGTGGAGGGGCGTTGGTTGACAAAACTCCAATTGCAACCCAGAATTTGATAGAGAATATGGCTGCCAACTCACAACAATTTGCAATAAGGCAAAATTCTTGTGTTACCAGAAATTTGAGTGAAGTTCAAGTTGCTAAGTCTAGTAAAATAGAACACAAGCTTGATGAATTGGCATCCATGGTGAAGCAATTGGCTTCTATGCAAAAGAGTGTTGTTGCATCCTCATCTGTTCCACCACCCATTCCAGCCATGTTGTGTGGTATTTGCTCAGCTACAGACCATTACACTGATAGTTGTCCTACACTACAAGAATCTGATACTTTATAAGGTAATCCTCAGGCCTATGCTGCAAATATTTACACTAATAAATTTCCTTTTCCAAATTCGCAGCAGCAGCCCAATTGGGATCTATCTTCCAATAGATACAACTCAGGCTGGAGGAACCATCCAAATTTGAGATGGGGGAACAATTCTCAACAACAGAACCAGTAGCATGGCACTCAATATCAAGCACATCATGCTGGCCCAAATAGATTCCATCCATCTCAACATCAACCACAACAAGCCCAACAACATCACCAACCATCTTCCTCACAACCAAATGCACCCCAGAAAAATGAACTATCACTGGAGGAGCTCATGAAGCAATTGACCATGAATAACATCATTTTCCAGCAAAGAACCGAGGCTAGT